TTTTCCCCAGTCTCTGTTGGCTTCTGATGGTGGTCACTCGATAAAAAGTGTGTAAAGATCATGAACAGATTATTTTGTTTCCTTGGGGTCCCTAAAAATTTCGAGGTATCTGTATTAGCACAGGAAGATTTAAATTGATTTCTCAACACATTCAGGTTTCTAATGAGCTTTATTAAGATAAATTTCCTCCAGCATTCCGAAATTCATATATTACAGAATACAAAATAAAGCAGAAAATTAGAGTATCTGGCTAAAAATGAGAGCAGGGTTCTGTCTCATTTTGGAAAGTCACCGAGAGAGTAATAATACCATTAATCATAAAATGTTATCATTAGTTAATTATTAGATGTGTTTTTGTATGCCAGTCACATAATATATACCCTTATATGTACCACCTACATTTCTAGATGTGAATGTGAGGGAATTATAGTAGTATCTACCTCATATGATTGCTGGATGATTTAAATGAGCTGTTATCTCAAAAACTTGGTACAGAGAGCAGAAACTTTTAGTTATTAAGATTCTTACTATTCCAATGTTTGAATAAAACAGTGATCTGCTAAGAAATCCCAATAATATTTTGATACATCAGAACCTTCTGGCATTAGATGTTTCTAATCTAATATCTTCATATTAATTTTTTTATGTTTTGATTATCTACTTTCAGTAGTAAATGTGTTTCTAAACACTGGATGCATTTTTAACTAAATGTGTTTTGTACCACATTTTGACAACTTTTATTTTAACTATGATTCAGCTTATAACAAAACAAAACAATGCATCTTCTCTTCACTGTTAATAAGGTTAATGAAAAGTTGACTTATGAAAAATATCCTAATTTATGCACGTTCTCATTGTTTTCCTTGCTAAGGACATTAGTACTTGATGATTCTGTAACAAAGAATTATCATGGGATGAAACTTTGATACAAATATCTTCAGTCAATACAATGTGCTTGATTTTACCTAGATGAGATTTTTCTTCTCTTCTTTCTTTTTTGAGACAGAGTTTTGCTATGTTACCCAGGCTAGCATCAAACCCCTGGCCCCTGGCCTCAAGTGATCCTCTCACCTTGGCCTCCCAAAGTGCTGGGTATTACAGGTGTGAGTCACTGAATCCAGCCTCACTTAGATGGCTTTCTTAGTGAATTATTTTATCTGGTTCTAAAACTTTTTGACAATACTCTCCAATATTTATGGATTTTATAGCATAATTTATGGATTACATAAATCATTATGAATTTCATAAATGATTTTGTGGTATTGCCACGGATCATCACCATTATACAGGATGTATAACATAACCATGGTTTAATATATTTTCATAAATTATAGACTAAACAAAGGCTGGTCAGGACCAGGGCATGCATGCATTTTATATGTGTGGTGCCTTTTGGAATATGCCAGGCCTCCCGTGAAAAAATCAGTAAGTGCTTATCTCATAGGACCAACGGCCCGACATTCCTGAAGTCACTACCACACTTTGCACTTATCTCCATGTGGAAATAGATAGCCACTGTTGAATTCTGGTGAGAATGACACGTCTGAAATCTCTCAGCTTCACAACCCCTATTACAGCCCTCAGAGAATCTTTTCACATAACACCAAACAACAACTTTAGGAAGTGATGTTCCTAGAATGAATCAGTTTCTAAAATTAAAAATGAAAACAATGACGAGGAGATGGGAGGGTCAGGGAGGAAAGGCTGAAGCTACTAAAAGACAAAAGACAGTATAACCTCTTATGAGGATGGTCCAGACACTCAGGGAAATGCAGGAAGAAATAAAAGATAGGAATTTGAATCACACTGTGATGGCTAACTTTATGTGTCGACCCAACCGATCTATGGGACACCCAGATAGCTTGGAAAGCACTATTTCTGGGTGCATCTGTGAGGGTGGTTTTGGAAGAGATCAACACTTGAGTCAGTAGACTGGGTAAAGCAGATGGTCCTCACCAATATGGGTGCACATTGTTTAATCTGTTGAGTGCCTGGATAGAACAAAAAAGGCAGAAGGGTGAATTCCTTTTCTCTTCTTAAGCTGGGACATCCATCCTTTCCTGCCATCAGACATGAGAGATTTGGATTCTTGGGCCTTTGGTCTCTAGGATTGACACCGGTGGCCACCTCTGGTTTCAGGTCTTTAGCCCCAGATTGTTAAGTTGCACCATCAGCTTCCTTGGTTCTCGGGCCTTAAGACTCAGGCTAAAATACACCACCAGCTTCCCTAGTTCTCCAGTGTAGGGACAGCAAATCATGAAACCTTCTGCCTTCATAATTATATAAGTCAATTCCCATAAAAAATATGTGCTTATATATCTATAGCTTTCCTTTTGGTTCTGTTTCTCCAAAAAAATCTTAATGTACACACTATATGACCTAACCCATAATAATGATAACCTTATGCAGGTTAGAGTAAGATGATGGTATTCTCAGTATCTGGGGAGTATGAGCTAGAGTGGTGAAACACCCCAGTGAGCCTAGGACTGAAGGTATTTCTGAAATGTGGAATATTTGGTGTCAACACCAGGAAATAATATAGCCATATGGAAAACAAATAGAACTACCATATGATTCAGCAACCCAACCACTGGGAATTTACCCAAAGGAAAAGAAACCAGTAATAAAAGAGAATCTGTACTCCCATGTTTATTGCAGCACTATTCTCAATAGCCAAGATACAGACTCAACCTAGGTGATCAGATGAATGGACAAAGAAAATGTGGCATATGTACACCATGAAATACTTATCAGCTATAAAAAAGAATTAGCCAAAGCAGTAGTGTGTGCCTGTCATCCCAGCTCCATGGGAGGCTGAGGTGGGAGGATCTCTTGAGGCCGGAAGTCTGAGACCAGCCTGGGCAACGTAAGACTCGGTCTCTAAAAAAACATTAAAAATAGGCCTTCCTTAAAAAAAGAATAAAATCCTATGATTCACGACAACACAGATGGGACTGGAGGACATTAATATTAAGTGAAATTAGCCAGGAACAGCAAGTTAAACCCCACATATTCTCATTCATATGCGGAAGCTAGAAAAAGTTGATCTCATAGAAGTAAAAAGTAGAACAGACGATACCGGAGACTAGAAAAGGCAGGGAGAAGGAAGGGAGAGGGAAAGATTTGTTAACAGATACATAAACAAAATTACAATTAGATGGAGGAAATTAATTCCAGCATCCCGCAGCACTATAGGATGACTATAGTTAATAATGATACATTAATTGGTCTCAAATAGCTAGAAGGAGGATATTGAATATTCCCAACACACGAAAAAAATGATAATGTATGAGATGATGTACATTTTTAGTATTCGAAAATTATAAGTTTTAATAGGTTTGATTTTCCTCTCTATAATCTATGTTTTCTTCCTTTATTCCCTCAGTTAACAAATAAATAAAAAAGATAATAAATGTAAAAATAAAACAAAAACTGAATTAGTGTTCCATGCAAACCTGGATGAACTGGTCACTCTACGTCTGCCCATCTAGATGGCTGGTGAAACTTTCCCAGGCTCCACGCCAAGTTCTTCCACTGCTCACTGGAACTTCCCTAGTCAGGTTGGGCAAATACTAATTTGCAGCAACGGTGAATTTATCACTGACGTTTCTTCAGTTCCCCTCTTTGGCATCTGCTTCTTCTTTTCTGTAATGCTGTTTGTTGAAATGCCCAACATTCTTTTTCTTCCCTAGAGCTATTCAGGGTGACCTTTCTTTTCACATTTTCCCATGCCACTTCCATTATGTCAAAATAAAACAGTCCTGTGTGAACACTGCTCATGACCTTGTTTCCTGCCATGTGAAGATAGGATCGCCTGCTCTTCCTTCTCCTCCTTTTTTTTTTTTAGAGACAGGATCTGTCTCTGTCACCCAGACTGGAGTGCAGTGGCACAGTCATAGCTTGCTGCAGCCTCGAACTCCTGGACCCAAGCAATCCTCTCGCCTCAGCCTCCTGAGTAGCTGGGACTACAGGTGCACACCACCATGCCTTCCTAATCTTTCATATATATATATACATACACACACACACACACACACACACACACACACACACACATATATATATATAGAGAGAGAGATGGGGTCTTGCTGTGTCACCCAGGCTGAAGATCAGCTGCTCTTTCTAATGTGTGGTTAGATAAGATTTATCTCCCAGGGGATAAAATACTACCTGGAATAAAGATATCTTTAAAATAATCACAGAGAAGAAAACATTTTTATAGTATGACAGAGGCAGAGAAAACAGAGAACATTTGTTAAGGCGGGACTTTCACCACTCCCAGTACAATCATCTGTCTGTTACCTGCATACCTTACACGGGTTGGCACTGCTGGGGGTACAAAGTAGATGCCAAACTTCACAATGGTTAGATTCATGTTTAAAGAGCCATTGGATCAAACCTTTGTGAAAGTTTCCAGCTTTTTTCTGTTCCAAATATGTGTCCATTATAAAAGAACCTCAAGAGCATAATTGCCAAGATAGTCTATGTCCGTGAGTATTTCAATGTCTCTCATGAAATCTGTTCCCATCATTACTCAAGATATTATATGAACAGTATTCCACACAAACTAGTCACTCAATAATGATTGATTGGCCAGTGGAGGGTCATTATCTAATGCACTACAATCTTTTATGCAAGGGGCCCACAGGAATCAGTATGATCCCATAGGAATCCTTTTCTTTTCCTTTGAGAAAGAAACAGATAGTGGCTTGTATTAGATTTCCTGTGTGTGTTGTGAGGGGGAAAGATATAAAAAGAAACTTGATCAGAGCATAAATGTGGGCCCATGGGATAGGAAAGAATGACGGAATAAAGGAGGAAAACATAGATTATAGACAGGAAAATCAAACCTATTAAAACTCATATTTTTCGAATACTAGACATGTACATTCATTTGAACAAAAGGATGCGGTAAAGCAAGATTTCTCTGTTCTTCCCAGCACTGGCATGCCCAAACTACCTTAGGAAATGAATAGCAGAGTCAAAAGCACCTGCAATGTAAAACAAAAACCAATTTACATTTTATTTAAGAAAAGCAAACAGATGGGACTGCTAATAATGTCAAAGTCTAGTTTCCAAAGAGAAAAACAAATCTGGAACCTTAAGTCAAATGAGTTCAAAATAAAAAGCAAACCAATAAACAGAAACCAACATAGACAGAAGTTCCTACCATCTCCCTCAGCCTGTGAAATTCTAGAACTTCTCTTCCCTTCTCCCCTTCTTCTCCTCTCACCTGGAAGATGAGCAGAGTGAACCCCTCAGGGGTTGTCAGTTCCCCAGATGGCACCACATTCATAAACCACAAACTCCAGGGGAATGTAGGAAGCTTAGCCAAGGCCAAAGTTCTCTTCGGATCTTCCACATGGGCTTCAAGACAAAAGAAAAAAAAAAGTTTGCTTGAGAATATCTTCATATCTATTAGTTTGAACCATGCAAAATTATAGTTTTTATAGGTAAAATGAGTGTATATTGGCAATTTCAAATGATTGACCCTAATACATTATGCTTTGGGGTATAGAAATATTCAGATCTTAAATATACACAGTTAAATACAAAATCAGGTATATTCCTGTTTCTATAATTAAAGCAAAGAGAGTTTCCTTTGGTCACTACTCCCTCTGACAAGAGGTGTGAACCAAATTCAGAGGCCGGAAAGGTCCAGGTCTGGGTCATTTCTCCATGCCTCACTTGTCCTGCTGTCTTGGTCGGTCATCGTGTTAAGCTGTCTCATAAAACATCTGCTATGGCTTGACTTTCTCCTGATAGGGTGGCTTTCCATCCTTGGCACTTCGTTGGCCTTCTTGGTATGCTTTATGCACTGGTTCTTGTTTCCAAATTGGCATTATTGTTGTTATGATTCCTGCTGCTCTCCCACATTTCCCGTCTTTCTTCTGATCTCTCTCTCGCCTGTACATTTCTTACATTTTCTCCTGTGCTTCCTTCTTCCCATAATCATTGCCCAAGCGTGTCTTCTTTCTTCTCCTTGGCACATTTCCTTTGTCCACTCTCACATATGCAGAGATGGCTCTTGGTTTTCCTTCTGAAATCTCATAGTTTGGAGGTAAACTTGTTAGCAAGGCCACTGAGAAGAGAACAAAAGGGAAACAAACGGGAAACCAAGTCACTATCTCTCTCATTTCCTGGTTTCTAGAAATAAGACCCAAAGAACTCACTATCTCAGCACTTTCAGCTCAGGCCACACTAGGGTGATCAAACTGAGCTTCTGAGTGCTGATCAAAACCTATAAAACCAAGTAGACCATCTCCAAATCTTCACTGTTAATACCATAAAGAATGAAAAGGTCACTAATTGGTAAGACTATATGTGTGATAATTAAATTTATGTATCAACCTAGCTAGGTTAAAGGATGACCAGGTACCTGGTAAAACATTATTCTGGGTGTGTCTATGAGCGTGTTTTGGGAAGAAATTAGCATTTGAATTGGTGAACTTAGTAAAGCAGAGGGCTCTCACCAATAAGGGCAGGCATCATCCAATCTGTCGAAGGCCTGAATAAAACAAAAAGGTAGAGGAAAGGAAAATTTGCTTCTTCTCTTCTTGGTCTAGCATATATCATCTTCTCCTGCCCTTGGATATTAGTGCTCCTGGTTAGTGGGCCTTCAGACTTAAACCAGGATTTATCCCTTTGGCTTCCCTGGTTCTCAGTTCTTTGGACTTGGACTGAATTACACTGCCAGCTTTCCTGGTTCTCCAGCTTGCAGATGGCAGATCATGGGACTCCTTGGCCTCCATAATTGTGTGAGCCAATTTCCATTTAATTTACATATCCAGTCATGCATTGCTTAACAATGGAGATACATTTCTGAGAAATGCATTGTTGAGTGATTTCATCATTGTGCAAACATCATAGAGTGTAATTACACAAACCTAGACAGCATAGACTACTACACACCTAGGCTACATAGTGTAGTCTGTAACATAATGATAAGTATGTATGTATCTAACCATATCTAAATGTAGAAAAGGTACAGTAAAAATATGGTATAATCTTATGGGATCACCATCATATATGCAATCCTTTGTAGACTGAAATGCCATTGTGTAGTGCATAGTTGTATACGCGCGCGCACACACACACACACACACACACACATCCTATTGGTTCTTTTTGTCAGAAGAGCCCTAAAACAATATGTTATACATTTATATTGACTCTGTTTCAAAATTTATGGTTTTGGTGAAACATATGTGCAGATGGGGTATAGGCATCTGAACTGGGATAGTGTCCTGCTAAAGAATGGGTGGGAGGCATCATTTGGGGCAAACCCAGGATATCAGCTTATAGGTATCAAGAGCTCAACAAGAGCGCTTTATGGCAAAACCCCCCACAAGATCTCTCAGAAGTTGTGAAAAATGTTTCTGCTAAAAGTTTCTTTATGACAGATGATGTTTATGGATAAAATAGGGATTAGCAGGATTCTTTAAATACTTTCAAACACTGACTTTCATTTCTACCAGGCAGTGGGGCCCCAAGTGCAGGGCCGTGGGAAGTGCTAGTCTGAGAGATATTAGGCTGCACTGTCTGTAGAGAATCTGAAAAAATAATAGAGTCAACTGAAATGTAGTTTGGTATCATTATTGCCATGCATCATAATTCTAAATCATACTAGTGGTCAAATACTCTGCCCTGAAAAAAACCTTTTCTTGGTTTGCATTCTAAATAATTGTTGTGGTCACCACTGAGCTTTCAAATATATAAATAGTTTAAAGTTTGCACATTTTTATTATCTGTTCCTTAACAAACATTGAAACTGACATGAAAATTATTATGGGAAACATCCAGGTATACAGTCCCTGACTCGTAAGGACTCAGGTAAATACTTAGGGTAGTTCATGGCCCTAGTCTCTGGGGTACCACATGTTTCTTCTTCAAATCACAAATTCAAAATCAAGAATGATAACACAGTGATTGTATAGACAAAATAACTGAACCAAAATTGCTTGCTTCTGTCATTCTGTTGAAGCACTTAGAGTTTTTACTAGTGCTTCAAATTCTGAACAGTAAAACAGAGTGTGAATGTCATGTTGGAATATTTTTGGCTTTTTAGACACAAATTTTAAGTATGTGAAATATTTTTACAAGACTAAGTAACATGATTGAAATTACAGCTTTCTTCTTTTTAAAACTGGTATTTGTTTTAAAACGGAAGAGTAAATCAAGAAAAACATAATTGTTACTGATTATTACAAGGTTATTACTGAAAAAGAAATGTATGGAATAGAGGAGGAAGGGGTTAACACACGATCTGGCCTGGGTGTTGAACATACCAATAAGCCACTGCTTCCAGGGAACGCCTAAGACAGAGCTGGCTCGGCGTGTTGGGTCACGGCATGTAAGGAAACTGCTGGGCTACATGCCACCGTCCTCAGTTGTCCAGATAAATAACCCTATAGCCCCTGGGGAAATAATAATCTTTAATTATGATATAGCTGACACCATTCAAAGCACTACACTAAGTCCTTTATGTGAATTAACTTTCGTCAAATTTATTTTTCACAAATAACCCAAATATGTATACCATTATTATCCTACTTTACAGAAGGAGAAACTGAGCTCCTAAAGTTTAAATACCTAACCCAAGTTAAGACTGCTAGTCACCCTAGGCTATTAACTCAGGCAGTCTAACTCAGGTATGATAGCATTATGCTGCTGTCTCCAGCTTTGACTACGCCTGAATTATAGCATCATACATCTAACTAAAAAGCTAAAGGAATTAAAATGAGCCATAGGACTCAATTTAATAAAAGGAGAGAAAATATTGGGGTTAAGTGATAATGCAGAGTTTTAAATATTTTTGTGAAAGGGCCAGAGATTATTACCAGTGTGACAAAAAAATTAACAGGTTGGGAGAAGAAGAAGAAAAAAAGAGGGAGGTCTGAGAAACAGAAATATCAGAGGAAGGAAATAAAGGAGGGTGAGACTAAATTCTCTTTTAGCATCCAGATTCCACAGATTCCACAAATCACATTTCTTTTTTTACCAACTAAGGAAAAATAACACTTGACCTAACATTTCATTGCAGTTGGCTAAAGGATGCTAGAAAAACTGTATTTCAGTGGTTTGCTCTAACTTCTTCAGGAATAAAGAAAAGTGACAAAAAGATCAGAGAAGAGAAGAAAGGAAACTATCAGAAAAATACAGAATTGGAGTAGGATATGACATATTTGGATTTAAGGTAAAATTTTATATTGTAATCTTAAGTATCTTGCTACTTCATTTTGGTCCCTGGAACAGCAGCATCAGAATCTGCTGAGGGCTTGTTAAAAAGGCAGAATCTCAGGTCCCACCGCAGACTCACTGAATCAGAATCTATGTACTGACAAGAGGCCCCGGGATTCATATGCACAGTAGAGCTGGAGAAGTTCCGTTGTAGCCTGTGATTGTTTTCTGTAACTTAGTATTTCTGAGTTTTCCCAAGGAAGAAAACCCAGGCCTCAGCTTCTAACAGACTTGTGTTTCTCCTTTACTTACTAGCTGCATGACTCCTCGGCAAGGAAATCAGTCTTTATGTGCCTCAGTTTCCTCATCTATAAACTGGGGACTATAATCATCATCTCCCAGACTTGTTTTGAGGATGCTCAATAAATGCTCCTTTCATTCCTCCATTTACAAACTTGCCGCAGACAATTCTGCTAGCAGCCTTTGTGCTATTATCTGTTTTCTAAACTTAGTAATTGAGTGTTATCTGGAGACTAAACTCTGAAATAAATAAGCTGATTATTTATTTTCTCAAAACAACAGAATACGATTTAGCAAATTACCTCTTAAGATATTATCTTACACTTCTATATTCTCCTACCCTGAGTTGATATGTGAGCAATATGTCACTTCCACAAAGCCAGGTATATATACATTACGGACAGGTAAGTAAAAAACATATTATTTATTCTAGGTTTTTGTCCAAGAGTTTTAAATTTCAACTGTTGTGCATGTGTTGGTAACGTAAAACAAATTCAGTACAGTAGTATTCAGTACAGTATTTAAGCCCCTGTACTTAAACATATTTCTTGTACCAATGAAGTTACGTGAAAACCAAATTTGTGTGATATATTGTAGATGAAAGTAAATTAGTCTTTATGTTCCCCACAAATTGAAATGCATTTCAAAAACTCTGTGTTGTGTATGTGTGTGTGTGAGAGAGAGAGAGACAGAGAGAGAGTGTGTGTGTGTATGTGAGAGAGAGAGAGAGAGTGTGTGTGTGTGTATGTGAGAGAGAGAGAGAGAGTGTGTGTGTGTGTATGTGAGAGAGAGAGAGAGAGAGAGAGAGAGAGAGAGAGACCCTTTGGTTGCCTCCATAAGCTGGCTGCTATGATTAATAAGACCAAGTTTTCCAAAGAAAATGAGATCATAACAAAAGCCCTCTTTATGCCTATCTTTTATCAGGGGCAAAAAGGAAAGAGACAAAACAGCGTGAGATGATGAGACCAAGTGATGAAAATTCATTCACAATGATTACTTTCAAGAGTAATTTCTCTTGGGTAATTCAGCAGCCTGTTACTATGGCTCTCTGGAGTGATAGCTAATGTAAATGAAGCCACTAAAAGTGGATTATCCTGACAAGAATATACTCAACCAATAATGCAACAGAAATCCATTCAAAGCATTTGGGAAAAATTCAAAAGAATAAATATTCTTTTTTTTTTTTAAGTTAATGACCTATGATCCATTTCTTCCCTAACAAGCAGCAAGCACTTAAAAATATCCAGCCAGGATGAAATGGAAACCCACCTGACTTGTTAATATTTTTGTTTGGTTCCAGGGACTCAGATTCTAAGCCAAATTCTTTGAGTGATCTTGGCAAACATCTCGAATTATTTTTGCCAACTTTTCTTTATCTTGGAAAAAAAAATGTTTCATGAATGGGTGTCACGGGACCCAAAATTGATTAATTTTTAAAAACCTTTCTTGCAGATACATATGACACCCTAAAAAATTTATTAGAAACAAAGTAAGTACTGTGTAGTGCGAAAAATTCTTAAAGGACATCCTCTTTTACAAACTCACAAAAACAGCCTTTGGAATACCCACATGAAGTAGCTGTTGTTTTTGCTTTCTATATACCTACATCTTGGCTATTATGAAAAGACTGGTTTTTGGCCAGGTGTCGTGGCTCATGCCTGTAACCCCAGCACTTTGGGAGGTCAAGGGGGGCAGATCATCTGAGATTCAGGAGTTTTGAAAAACCGGCCTTGTGCAAATGGTGGAACTTAGTCTTTTCTAAAATAAAACAAAGGTTTAGCAGGTGACAGGCCTGGTAGTTCCCCAGTACTCGGAAGCTAAGGCAGGAGAGTACTTGAACTTTAGATCAGGAGGGTTGCGCGGCTGAGATTTCATGCTACTGCACTTCCAGGCCTTGCGGCAGGAGGCAGATTCCTTTCAAAAAAAAAAAAAAGACTGTTTTTTCCAACAGCTATTCCCACCCCTCTGCATGGAAATATTCACCCAATCAATTGTTTTCCTAGTTTGGGTAAAGGCCCTCTGGGCAGGACTGGAGTGGGACACACAGAGGAACAGCTGCAAACTATGTTTAGAAGCATGTCTGGGAAATGTCATGCCAGAAAAGACATATTGAAAGGTAGGCTTTGCATGAACGGAAAAGGAGGGTAAAGGAGGGTAATTCTATGTAGAGCAGAGCCTCTTATTTGGAGTGAGAGAAGCAGAAGTGGGGAAGCCAGAGGAATTATGCTTTTCATTAGCCAAATTTGCAGGTAGGAGGATTGGCTAAGAAAAGGGAAGTCATCTTGGCTGAGGCTCATCAAACCAGGTGTAAAGAAAGCGGACTAGATCAATTTCATCCATTACAGGAAGAGGAGCCGTGAGAGATAATCCAGAAATCATTGGGATTTGATGGTAGACGGTATTTTGGGACTATTCCATTTGAAATGAGAAGGCACCTGACATTCTTTGAATTCCTTTCAAGCAAAAGATTAAACTCACCCATGAGTTGACTCAGAAAAACATAAAAAGTATTGTTGCTCTGCTCAAAGTTTTATCTAACTCATTCTCACTTCTTATTCCATGATGAAATGACATAAAAGAGGTGTTTTTTGTTTGTTTGTTTGTTTGTTTGTTTGTTTTCTGGACTCAAGGCAAGGCAGCCACCTGGTCAGAGCTGTTTTATTTGTCTATGCTGTGGGGAGAAAATGGTTAACTGACTATGGAAGGCAGCCATTAAGATGTTCCCATGTGAGTGAACTTTCCAGGGTTCCCAGCTTCTGCATCCTTCCCCGTCCCTCATTTCCATTGTTGGTGATGATAAGGTCTCTCCCATCAGCCTCATGGAGTTCTCTCTCATTTATTAAAATTTGCTTTCAGGAAAAATTTTGAAAATGTGCCAATAATGCCTGATTGGCCCTTTATCCTAAAGGCTTAAACTGGAGGAAGGAAGCTAAACTGAGAAATTTTGCAAATCATTGAGCCAAAAATGTATTAATATCAAGATCTATCATTTATTGACTAGTATGTGGCAGGCAGTGCCCTTTTATTTAGGCAGGGAGGGTTGGTTGGGGAAGGTGGTCACACCTCTTAAGAGGTGCTATCTTCTCCTATATAAATCATTGAAAGTCAAGAGAATAAGAAGTTTGTCTTGGTTGGTTGATATTCAGGCACATTAGAGTATGCAGTAGAAGATCCCAAGAGATCTCGATCATTTTAGGGTAAGAAATGCCAATACCGCCGGGCACGGTGGCTCATCCTTGTAATATCAGCACTTTGGGAGGCTGAGGTGGGCGGATCATGAGGTCAGGAGATCGAGACCATCCTGGCTAACACGGTGAAACCCCGTCTCTACTAAAAATACAAAAAATTAGCCTGGGCGTGTGGTGGCGCCCTATAGTCCCAGCTACTCGGGAGGCTGAGGCAGAGGAAATGCGCGTGAACCGTGGGAGGCAGAGCTTGCAGTGAGCCAAGATAGCATTACTCACACTCAGCTGGGGACAGAGTGAGACCCATCAAAAAAAAAAAAAAAAAAAAAAGCCAATACCAGGTAGAAAAATAGAGCCAAATCACAAACATAAGCCTAAACAAATGTTGGCAGTGTAGCCTGGTGGTTAAGAGACAAGACTCTTAAACTAGAACCCTCGCGATTTCCATGTGCTCACTCCAGACCCTCACTGTGGGTTTCTAATTTAACCCCTGTTGCTTACCAGTGGCAGTCTTAAGGCATTCCTTAAGTTGGTTGTGTCTCAATTTGTTCATCTGTGAAGGGATACGATTACAGTAGTGTCTACTTTATAGGATTACTGTGAGCATTAAATGAGTTAATAATGTATTTGTAAAGTGCTTAAAATGCTGCTCCAAAAGAGTTTGTTAAACACTTAAGAAGTGATTTACTTGCATGTAGACTGACAGTTCTCAACAACTGGAAATGACCAAGCATAGGCCCTGGAATATAAGCAGATCTCCATGAAGGCAAAAATGTTAGTTTCTTTTGTTCAGTCCTGTGCCCAGATCAATACCTAGTGATCACGCTCAAGAGATATTGTTGAATGAATCAATGAACCTACCAAGGTAGTTACGTAAAAGAGTTCTGCATGAGTAGAAATCTGGGCAAAGTGACCTCCGAGGAAATTTCCACTTTTAGATTCTGTGATTTCCTTAAGGAACTGAAAATTGGTGTGATACAATATAAAAAATGTGCCTATATGATTTGAGAAAAACTTATTTTCTTTCCCTCTTTTTTCCTTCCTTTCTTCCTTCCTTCATTCTCGCCTTCCTTTCTTCTTCTTTCTCTCTTTTTTTTTATTCTTTCTTTTCTTTTTCTTTATTTCTGTCTTTCTTTCTGTCTTTCTTTCTCTTTCTTTTTCTTTCTTCCTTTCTTTTTTCCTTTTAAGAAGAACATGTCTGTTAGATGAATGCCTTTTTCTAGTTAAAAGGTTAAACAGGAAAGTGAAGCACAATTATCAAGGGTCTCCAGTCATCCCCACATGTTCCTAATCATTATCTTCTTTTACAGTTCCATATCTCCAGGCTTTTCATTGGGTCAGGTTGGCATTTCACTGCCCTTTGTGTGTGTGACAAGTGAAAATAGGGAAAGAAAAGAAACTCAAGTGAAGAAAACCAGAATCTGTGCAGCAGATCCGAGATGTTTCAGCTGCTTCCCACGTACCTGCCTCATCAAGCCCCAGCATCCATCTCCTTGCTCATCTTACACCCCGTGTGCAGGACAGGCCCACTATTCGTTTATCAGAACAAAGCCTCTCCCACTATTCTGGTTCTCCCTTCACTTAGCCAGATATACAAGAATATCTGCCCAGATGACCTGCCTCACCTGGGAGCTCAGAGGAGCTCAGATTCCATTACTATCACACCAATGACAGATCTCCCAGCAACAATCACAGAAAAGACTAACTGCCCCCAAAATCTCCCTTCCAAAACACAGTTCTCATTCTCCCAAGAAACCGGAATGTGACTGCTCACTTCTCTAAGGACCTGAAAACAATTGGCCATTCCAGTTATTTAAATCAACTTTAAAAATTTCAACCCCCAAAATATTAAACCATTTTGGTTGGAATGATAAAATAACTAACTTGCTGACAGTTGCTTGGACTATTTGCAGAAATGGAAAAAAATACTTCTAATCAGGTCAAATCACTCTGCCTTTGGGATTCTAAATTTACTCATATTCTCAAAGAAATATATTCAGTCATAGTAGGGAAAATAGGATTATTCCTTTAGCTCAATAAGCAACCAGAAGTTCTTTCTTCAAATCTTGACATTTAATCAATTAGAAATTGATTTTCTGGAAAACTGTTTCCTATGAAACTATCTCTGCCTGCAGGATTTTTCTTTTACAATCCAGACTATAGACGGAAATTCACAACCTGGACTTTCACCTCCATTGGTCAGAGTTTCACTGACCAATTCCCACCTCTGCCTTACACCTAACAGAAGTTTTTGCCTCTGTTTTCTCTTCACATACTCCAACAGTTACAAATGGTTGTTATTATTAGGCATCTTTTATTTTGTGACCCCTGATTATATGGTCCACTAAATTTTGACCTAATCACAAAAGAGTGGTAAAATTTTTTAACATATTAATAATATTTTATGTGTCAATATCTTAGCATGTATCGATTAAGACAGAGGTCTTAACATTCTCTTTTTGAAAAAGAATATTAAGATGCAGAGATATTAAGAGATTCTCCCAGGATTACAGTTAGGTAACAGAGCTGGATTTTAGTCCAGGGCCATCTACAACTCTAACATATGTATACCCTTTTTATAACATGGCACGAATTCAGCGTAAAGGGGTCTTCAGTCATCTAAGTCAGGGGTCAGCAAACTTTTTCTAAAAAGGAGCAAAAAGAATAGTTCAGGCTTTGTGGACCCTGTGGTCTCTATCACAACTGTTCAAATCACCATGTAGTGTAAAAGGAGCTATAAACAATATAAACTAACCAATGTGATTATTTTATGGAATTTTTTAAAACTCTTTATTTACAAAAGCAGCTGGCAGGTCAGATCTCACTTATGGGTCATAGTTCTCTGACCTCTGACCTGATAACATCTTATATTTGTGGACAACATTTAGACTGTGACCTGCTGAGTAAGAATGAGAAGCTCTGTCAACTGAAGATCAAGGCTGGAGCTATGAAAGCAAAGAGCTGCCTGGTGTTAATGATAAGTGGGATAGTTAAAGTCAGAAGATTCCAACTGTAAGAAGCACAGAAAATAACGACCATAGACTCCTGAACAAGAATGTCTGGACTTCTGGCTTGGGTACTCTGGTTCTATGGTCTTGGCCATGTTACCTAATCTCCCCAGGCCTCCTTTTTCTTATCATTAAATGAAGATAATAAAAGTATTTTCCTCAGAGAGCTGTAAGAATAAAATGAGGTAACACATGTCAAGCACATAGAATAGGGCCAAGCCTATATTAATTTATCAATAAATGCCAGATACATATTAGTTCTTTATGTTTTTATTCATTATCATAGAATGTTTATCTACAGATTGACATTGTAAGGATGGAGTTAAAATTTTATATATATGAAGGGAAACTATTCCTGTTACTATTGATCTGCATCACATTACCCCAAATTTGATGGCTTAAAGTAACAACATTCATTTTGCAAACAAATTTAAAATTTGAGGAGGGCTTGTCTGGGAAGACTCGTCTCTGGTCTATGTGGTATCAGCAGGGGGAGGCTTGATGGACTGGCACATGTACTTCCAGAATGGCCCACTTGCATACCCGCCAAGTTGGTGCTGGCTTTTGGCTGGGAGCTAAGCTAGGGCTGAGTGCTAGGGTTCCTGGGAGGTTCCTTGTGGCCTGAGCTTCCTCACAGCAAGGCAGCTGCGGTGCAACAGTGAGCATTTCAAGAGAGAGCTAGAATGACACTGTATTACTGTGTAAGACCTAGCCTGGGAATTAATGTAGCATCACTTCCATCCCATTCTATTTTTTAAAAGTGAGTTATTAAGGTCACCCTGTATTCAAGGGGATAGGAATTAGACTTCATCTGTAATAAGAAAAGTGTTTTTAAAAATTGTAGACATGTTTTAAAATTCTGAAGTCCACTTACTGGTTACAAATTATTTATATATACATGCAAAATACACTCCTACACTCTCACCTTAGAAGACTCAGTAGCAGGTACAGATGAAGTCCTTCAGGTGAGATTTCTTATGTATTTATCCTCTCAATCTGAAGACTTGTAAACTAAGAGACAAGTTATTTGCAACCTACATACCCAATATTCAATGATAAAATATATATAGGACAGCCACTATAGACACTCTTGTTTTAAATAGAGGAAAATCAGAGCACATGACAGTCATTGGCTCATAGTAACTCTGATATCTAGACAGCAAACACTGCAGGTCTCTTTGTAGGTCTCGGTCCTGCTGCCTGGATTCCCTACTGCTTCTTGGGTCTTCCCTCCAGGTTCTTGGTTCTTGGCCCTCTTTTCATTTAATACTATTTCTGTTCCTTTTAGCTCAAGCTGTCAAAATGTGTTTGTACAATTCTGTTTAAAATTCCGGGACTTCCTGTGATTCTTATTAGAGAATACTCCATTAGACAAAAATCTGTTTGACGTAAGTCATTCTCTACCCGAGATCCCTGTAAGGCTGTGATGGGACTACATAACCTTAAGATTACTAGAAGATTTATTGTTTAACTGAGAGAATCTGCCTAGCATATGCTTAGATCCTTAGAGGAACTCTGTTTCAAAGGGCTTATGAGACATTACCTTATATCTTTCTAAGGTACAAACAAAAGGTCTTTGGTTTTTGAATTTGATCTTTGAGCTGATATCTTTTCTTAATTTGAGAATCCTCTGCTCTATGGAGAGACTGAGAAAGAGAAATAGTTTTATATTTGAGTGTAACATCTTGGATCTTTAATAGATTATCTTAAAATTTTCCTGAAAATGTAACAGTTCCTGTTTTTAAAATTCATTCTCCCCACACACTTGTTATATACGACTAAAAGAAACTCCCTGGCATTTTCAACATTCTGGTTGGAATTTTTCTTAGCCCAATCTACCAGTTTATTAGGTATATTTTGTATTTTCCATGTCACTGCAGGTGACAATCTTGCTAAACTTTCTGCCACTACATAACAAGGATTCCTTTCTCCAGTTTTCAGTAACAATCTACCAATAGCCTCCTCAAGGTCTACCAAGATTCTACTAAAAGTCTCTTTCAGCCCCTTCCAGCTTCTGTCCACCAACCAGTACCAGAAGCAATATCCATGTTTTAGATTTCATTATAGTGGCATCTAGTTTCGAGTTCTCAGAACCTGTTTTGATCACGTTTCACTGTTTCCAAAACATCCCAAAACAGTAGCTTAAGACAGTAACACTTATTTTGCTCACAGGCTGTACAGGAAGCATAGCTGGTAAGGTTTCAGGAAATATACAATCATGGTGGAAGGCAAACGATGTATGTCTTACATGGCGAGAGCAGGAGAAAGAGAAGGGGAAGGTGCCACACACTTTTTAAAAACCTAGATCTCATGAAAACTTACTCACTATCATGAGAATAGCAAAGAAGAAATCTGCCTCCATGGTCCAGTCACCTCCCACCAGACCCCTCCTCCCACACTGGGGATTACAATTCAACATGAGATTTGGGCAGGGACACAAATCCAAACCATATCAGTTGGCAAACCTTTTTTAAGAAAGTAATGACATCAACTCCTTAAGGATGTGGATTGGGAGAGAATATTGGAGAGGATCCAGGGAAAGTGAAG